AAACATCATTATGTTCATGTACATTTGTAAAATGGGTAATTTTTTTCTAGTATGTCATAGTCACCAAGAGTATTTACCACGTCTGAGCATGTGCAATTCCATACGTAATTCAAACCAATGTTCGCAATCGCTTGTACGATAACACATATAATTACTTGTGCAAATTCAAATCGTATTTTACGACTATTGAATACAGCAAAAACAAACAAATGAATCAGGATTTTTAACAAGAAAGTTAGACTTAGATATTTACTGTTCAAGTTGCTTCGCTGACTATATTCTTTATCCAATATGGCGATTTACTTGTTGTTTGCTTCACCTTTGAATTCTGTTCAAGGAGATTTTCTGTTATTTCAACATCTGAGGTGTTCATTTCAGCGTCATAGTTTCTGCTGAGTCACTAGTCATAGATTTGGCAATCTTTTCGAGTTTTGTGCTCTCGAATATAGCTCATTTGTTACCTCGTGAGAACTAGTATGAATTTGGCTAGCTTACATGTTTTCAAAGATTTCATCGCCTTCAAGCTATAAGATTAGTGGACCGACCCGTTCCGAAAAAGCTCTACATCCTTTAGTGTGGGCATAGCACTTTCCAAACATTTCTTTACGCAACAACTTTATAATCCCACGAACCGAAGCAGAACAGGAGATTTTCATCCCCAGTTCCCAGCCACTCAGCTAGGAACGCCTGGGACCATGACCCCCATTTTGGCGACCAAATACGGTTTGGTTTGGTTTGGTTTGGTTTGGTTTGGTTTGGTTTGGTTTGGTTTGGTTTTTTGCTGTTGTTGTTGTTGTTTTGTTTTTTTTTGTTTTTGTTTTTGTTTGGGGGAAGGGGGCGCAAATGTTTCAAAATTTTGAGGTTCATTTAACAAAAAAATGTTTTTATTGGCACTACCAATATAAGTATAGCACTTACAAACTTTTCGGTGTCATAGTACGTAAAGCCTGGCTTCATGACATAATCAGATGACGCAGAGGTCCTCGTGTGGTTACTAAGCTCACACACGTGAAGTGGAGTGCCTTCGTCTTGAAAATTGTACGACTTGCAACCTTTAGTTTGAAGACATTGGAATGCGCAGTCAGGGTAAGAAGTGACTTCATGGTTTGCTATCACGTGACCACTTAGTGCTTGATCTAGCAATTTGACAAAAGAAAATGGATTACTGTTTAATTATTTTATTTATTTATTTCATGATTCGCCCAAGGGCAGGTGATAATACAATAGGACTCTAGGTCCCCTATATAATATTAACACCCAAACCCAACCCCGATGAAAAAAATTAGAAAAACTAGTACCAACCAACATACACATTAAAAGAATCTTAGATATAGGAAAAGGAAAATGTAACGACAATTAGCAACTACAGATACTCAAACGATTAATTCTACGACATTTAGGACAAATGAACTTATATGAACGTATATTATCTCCATCAAATACTAATTTAAGCCTTTCAAAAAAGAAATGCTTTAACTTATTTTTAAAAGAAGAAATGGAAGTTTGTGACTTAATGTTATCTGGTAAGGCATTCCATAAATTAGCTAGACGATTGAAAAAGGAATCGCGAAACAAACGGGTTTTGAAAGGCGGCGTATTTAGATAAATGCCTGAGCTGCCGCGGCGGGATCTGCTATTGCAGTGCTGAATGTAATTATGAATATTTAAATTAATTTCACCAGACTTGCATTTAAAGAAAAATACTAGGTCGAAGTATTCGAGCCAAATAGTTAAGCGGTAATAGGCTTAGGCGCAGTAACCTATCCTTATAACTAAGGGTGTCTGATTTGCAAATAAACTTGGTGGCCCGTCTTTGAGTCTTTTCGACTAACATGAGGTCTTGGATTATGGATTGAGGGGCCCATACCTGGGATACTGTGCTATCTGTTGTAGATTTCACTACATCTGTTGTTTAATTCAGTTACTCATCTACTTATGATTTACTTACGAATTCGAAAGAGATATTCTCAGCAGGGACGATTGCCATTTAGTTTAACTGAATGGTGGATATCTATCGAAACTTATTTATCCGTCGATTCTATCATTTATTTGTTCATTGTGTTAGGATTTCAGAGAGCTTTAAACAAATATATATGAGACAGAAAATGAGAATCATAAAATCGAAGGAAAAAAATTGAGCAAAAACAATACAGGCACGCAGTCCATGGTGTTTGACAAGGATTCTTTTTAAAAGTTCATAATAGGAAGAGTGAATAGCATTCCACAGTGCTTTGCGAAAGTAGATTATATAGAATATGGCGCAAAGTTTTCAACATGACTAACACGCAACAAGAATAAAACGCCTTTATAATAGAGTGCAGACTGTTTTTCCTTGAAATAGTATTACAGTGCGACTACTAATATATTTCCTTCGCAAATTAGTGATTTGTGTCACCAAAGATATAGAAAAATAGTAATGTACGACTTCAAATACGACGGGAAAGCAAATTAGAAACCGTATAAAACACAGTCTTCATGATTACAGTTTGTTTCTTCCAATCATAGATATAATCAGGCTGACACTGTTAGATCTTATCGCCTTGTTGCTATGCGACAGCATGTTTATATTCGAAAACAAAGGTGCCGGCAGTCTTCTCAGACATGTAAACCCATGGATATTTGTCCGATTTGTAGCAATTCTATAGTTCAGAATCCTACTTCTGATTGGATAATTTGTAGAAAATTTGTAGACGTGGCTTTGGTTGGAGTAGTCGCACTGTAAATAAATCGTACAAAAAAGAACCCATGAAAAAATTGGAAACAAAGAAACTAGATGTTTTTAGTTCTATTTAATTTGTATGCTATTTTACGGATGTATGGTTTGCACTCTGTTAATGAGAATTAATGTTTCTACTTTGCTGGATTACGCAGTATTCAAAATAGCAGGGTTTGTTTTCGAGTTGTAACACAGGTTTAATTTCAATTATTCACATTGCGTGCCTTTCTTCCAAATATATGTACACAAAGTTTTGTGTGGGATGTGAAGGTAAGTTATAAATGATAGCCAATTGATGATTATTAAGTTTATCTGACATATATAGGGTTATGAGTTATAAAATTGGGTTGAAGAGTCGTAACTAAAGGCTAGAAACTAAATGTTAGAGTCAAAACCGTAAGTAAAATTTCAATGTTTTGACCATTTTTACGCTTTTCAAAAGTTGTGGCCGTAGCAAACTACTGACAATTCTAAGTACAGAATCCATTCACCACCGTTCATAAGTCGGTTCACTAGTCAAAAATAAAGCACTGAAGAGAGGGGCTTAAAAGTAGTTGTGGCAGCCAAACAGTGACTTGGGCCGTTAGTAACTAATAGCATTAAATAGCACGCACAGGAAAGTTGGATTTCTTAATGCAATAATTCGCAATAAATGGAAACTTTACTAAATATTAAAAAATAACTTCCTTTACATTGTCCAATTTCTTTTGTGCCAGTGAACTATAACATGACGTTTCTTGATTGCACTTTATTTATAAGTTTCTCGTCGAATCTACTCGAGCGGTTATTGCATAAATAACGTGGCTTTTTGTAGTTGACTGGGGGGCAACTGAACAAGCGGTTGACTGAGAGGCAACTAGCGGATGTTAAGTCAAAACTTGTCAAACTTAGTACTCAAACTTTAACAAATAGACATCAGATTTTTATTGACGATGAATTGCGTCATCACATTGTCAAAGTAGTGTG